TGGGGACTGATCATCCAGAATTGCCTCTGAATGCATCTGGTCCGACTCTAAAGCCAATTCAGGTACAGCAGCAGCAGCAGCGCATCTCCCTCTGAACATGAATTATTTAAATTGCTGCTTTTTCCTCTCTTCATCCTATTCTCTGTCACTAGAAGCAAGGTTGGGCAGTCCTTGTTACTCTATCAGCTATGCTGGGGGGGGGGGAACCTAAGCCAATTACAATGTATAAAACAGGCCAATCACAGAACTTGAGACTCCTGGGAAATTGCAACAATGGTTCTATCAAAATGGTATATAGAATATTATATGGATTCTATATATCCCTTCCTGTAACACCACTGAGTGCCAGGATCTGGATAGCTCCTAAAAGCAATGCATTGTATATAATCCATGAGTTCATTCCCTGGTAGAGGGTCTGAACCCAATAGAAATAGATCTAGATATTTCTAGATCAGATCTAGAAAGATATCTGATGAGTCCCAGTACAAATGAAACTAGCTGTACATTGCCTCCTGGTGGTCTGTGTAACATGCTTGAAACTGCCCCGTTTCGTTTTAGCTCAAAACAAAACCTGAGAATAGGACAAAACTCTCAGAATATGGGTATTTTGTTCCAAACTCAAAACACTTAAAACAGACGTTTCAAGCTTGGAACTCTTGCACATACTTATTTTTATGGAAATAACCAACTTTTGAGAGGGCTAAATAAAATTTCCTACCCTACGCAACTCTTTACTCTTCAAAACAATTAGCAGTACATATAATGCCAAAAAGAGGACATTTCTGGATGTAGATGTAATGCAGTTCTTTGAGGCCTGGAAGAGAGAAAAATCAATCTTTCCAAAAAGATGTGGTCAAATACATAAGAAACAGATTAGGGAAAAATGTGTGATTGAGCAGTATATACGTGATAAATAAATAAACAACACTATTATTGGATCACATTTTTATCATTCTAGTGGTTTAAAAATATGTGGCTGCATTCCAAAGATTTTATTTAACACTTAGGCCCTGAGGGCATGCTTTTATCAAAACAATTAGGGCATCAGCCCACAATAGTTAAGGGAAAGCCACACTCAAGTACAAAATTAGGGGCATCTTCTTTCTTGAAGAAAAGGAATCTTGGTCCCTTGGGGAAACATCATGCTTTGTGGAGGCAGCTGGCAAGGGCCAACAAACAGAGCAGTCAAAACCTGGTAAGATACGTGAAAGAGTAAGGGAGCGAGTCCCAAAGGTCAGCATCGTCCTTAATGCAGTCCCACTGTAAGAGAGTTCCTGTAAGTATGAGACTGGCATTCAGCAGAAACATAATGTCTTGTCAAGCGTTTTCTCTGAACTTCATCTCTTGTGGTTCCACCTAGGCTGAAATGCCACTAGCTGCTTCTGTTTTTAACTGCTGCTTCTGTGATCTCAGATGCGTGTGGCATCTTGTCCAGTGGGAGGTGGCTGTATCACTTCAAGTTGACAGATTATGTCAGCAATGAACGGGCGCTCCTGGGGATTCACTACCATTATAGAAGAGAGGAGGTGTTCCAAGGCTGGGGAGTACCTGAAATTTAGAACAAATTCAGATCAACCTGTCCTTGGATTAAGGGCAACCACAACCCCCTTCCCACCTTTTAGGTAGCAAATGCTTACCTGGTATTCTGGGGCACCGTAAGATGGTTCTGCACCGCTAAGGCCACGCTGTCCCCCTTTTGGAAAATCATGTCATAAGGTCCTTCACCAAACATCATGCAGTAGAGAACACAGCCTAAGGACTAAGCAGAGGTTAGGTGAGCATATGGAGCAAAAAGCTGGCCCTGGAACAATGAAACAGGATCTCCCTCCCCTGTACAGGATATTATACTTTTAGTGTATTACGGCAATATTAAGCATTATTTGTTTTCTAAGCAGAAATAGTGACCCTTACCCAGATGTCAGTACGTTCATCAATAACGCATTCACGCTCAACGCTGAACAGTTCTGGGGCTCGATATGAGATGGTGCAGCGTTGGGCAGCCCAGTCCTGTGGGATCAACAGGGGAGGGAAGACAAAAGTACATAAGACAAAGTCTGGAAAGAGAGAGAAGTATCTCAACCTTTCTCTCTGGCAGGTTTCTCCCACAGACCTCCTGGTTGCTTTTAGGGAATAGTAACAGGAAATAATACTTTAAATTAAAGGCATTAACATTAAATATAATACATAGCAGCACCTGGGATATCTCAAAAAAATTAACCAGGACTGGACATACTCAGTACTGAGTGGGAGATCACTAGGAAATTTCAGAGCTGTAGACTAAACTGGGAATTAAAAAAAAAAAAAATCCAGCAGAAGGCATTAGCAAACTACTCCCATGCTGTTGACAAAGAAAACTAGGCAGATGTGTCCCTACAGCCACAGGAACTAAGTTCAAGGGAGATTTTAACATGGAATAGGAAAGGCGAAGAGAGATCTAGCAAAGCCACTGTTGAGAAAAGAAGGAAATCTCATTTTCCTGGCCTGCCTACCTTTTTCAAAATACTCAAGAGGTTTGAGGTTATGATTTGCAAATCCCATAATATAAAAATATATCCTTCTGAACAGATCTCACTACTTGTTTATTTTGCTTCTGCTTGCTTGCTATTGAAACCATGACCACGTATCTGGAGCAGTGTATGCCAATACTGGAAACACTGATATGGATGGAAAAGGAAAACTGCAGTGATCATCTCCCTCTCTCAAGGCAAGGGCTGGGGCTAGTTATCCTTTGGGGAAAACAGTGGAGTCCTTGGTGCTCTCTGAGTTTGGTTGCTTGATGGAAATGTTTCATCTGCCACCAAACAAGGTTTGGGGAAAACAGTTTTGGTGAAGGAACAGGGATAGAAACTACATTTGATCACTGATGTCTATTTTGACTGGCTGTGGATCTCTAGGGCCTTGGGACAAAGGCCATGCGTAACTAACAGCCCTAGGTAGGGATGGAAAAGATTCTTCCTGGAAACCCAAATAAGCTGATCTAGTCAGTGTCAATCATTCTGAGCTAGACAGAGCAACGGTTCTGATTCAGGATCTGCTAGGGTTGTATGCTCTGACATCTATCCTCACTTCCAGGGGCATCCACAGCAATGGCCATCATCTTCAAAACAGCAGGCACAACCAGACAAGCAGAGACTTGCCCCTTTTTATGGGTATGCAATATGTAGGACACACATTAAAAAGAAGCTGGACTTTGCTTACCTGCTCTTCTGAAGCTAGCGACAGTCATTGTGGATGACTCCGCTCACTTCCCCAGATCTCTTGCACTTAATGTGTGGACTTTGCCCCCAAGCTACCCAATCATTCCTTTTAAGGGGAGAGGACATGTTGGGACACAAAAGACTGCACGTCATCATTCTGCATGCATAGATGATATTACTACTTGCCAATTTCCTTCCTCTGCCATTAAATAAAATGTGCTGGGATATCAGTGGAAGCCCTGACTTTCATAGTTAGAATAGCTTTATTTCATTAGATGTTTTTCCTTCATCTTTAGAGCTGCTCCCTGTTTCCCTTCTACCAGATTCAACCTCATACCTGAATAGTCATGGCCTCCCGTGAGCTTCGCACCTCAATGCGAGCCTGATTCATGGAGCCTAGGTCCATCAGCAGTGGCTGATCTTCATTGTCCAGCAACACATTTGTTGGTTTTAAATCTCTGGAAAAAGGCAGGCAGAATGTAGACGGAAAAACCTGGAATTGTCCAATCACCAATCCAAGCCATTAGTCCCCAAATCCTGCTTTGAAAGAAAGTCTGAAACTTGTAATATTCCAGCTATGGGCTTTCCTCTACTTAACATGCTGCCACATTGATGTTCTGTGCCCGAGGATGGTTCTTCATTTTTGCAAACTCCTCTTTCCTAACATCCCTCTAACAATGACTGACAGTCTCTCACGACCTCAGCAATGCCTCCCACCCAGGGTCTATTGCTACCATATTCATACACCATGTTTTCTAAGGCCAGCTTCTTACCTGTGTGCATATCCCTTGTTATGAATGGCCTGCAGCCCTCGGCAGATGCCATGAAAAATGACCAGGATCCGCTCCTCAGGCATGAAGGAACCTTTATCTCTCAGGGCTTCCACCTCCTGCCAGAGGGTCCCTCTCTGCAAAAGAAACCCAGGCACGTTGGTAGCTGAAATTGTATGCACATTCTCCAAACTTACTGAGTGAAGGAAAAGATTTATCCCTAGGTATTAGAGACTGTGGCCCAGCCTGGCCTACAGATGACGTACCATCCTTTGCCATTTGAACTTTACAACTGCAGAGGCTTAATGAATATTGGTTTGGTTGCTTCTGGTCCAATCAAAAACAAGCAAATAGTGTATCTAGAGCAGGGCTAGCTGCACACAGTTTTGGAGCTGCCCTGAATACCATAGAGTTGTTTAATTTATTTGCTGCTTGACCATAAGCCCTAAATATATAGCCCTAAAGTTGTCCTAGAACTCTTAGGTGGCTGTGGTTGTAGAGACGCCACCACAGAGGGAAAATGTGGCAGAAGAGCATAGCTGAGCAGAATTACAGTCACAACATCTTGATTTGGCTTGAACAGGGAAAGGGAACAGATACCGGAGGATCTTAGCTGACTTCAAAAGCACTGCATGTAGAACAGTGTTTTTCAACCTTGGCACCTTTAAGATATGTGGACTTCAACTCCCAGAATTCCCCAGCCAGTATGCTTTTCTGGGACTTGAAATCCACATATTTTAATGGTGCCAAGTTTGAAAAATACTGATGTAGAAAGCCAACCACTGATGAAAACTGGAGTCTCTTCTGCACAATATTGTGCTCCCATTGAGAGGTCAGGTATGTCAACTGGATACTCAGGTGACGGCTCTAGCCAGGAGAGCTTTGTTATAGCTTGGATGGTGCACCAGCTACACCTTTCTTGGAAAAAGCAGATCCAGCCTCTATTACATGTGCCTTGGTTGCATCCAAACTAAATTAGTGTAACACTGCCCCTGAAAAGCATTTCAAACTTTAGTTAGTGAAAAATGTCCAAAACCTGATTTTCAGAGAAGTACTGTAATTTAACTTTATTTCCAGTCATGATTCCAGTGCTGGTTATTACCTATAAAACCCTGGACACTTTGGGACTAGTTTGGAAGGATTACCTTCTGCCACCTGATCCCACAATCCACTGTATTTTTCATCTGAGGCCTTGCTCAATGTCCCATCATCACTGGAGCTCTGGCTGTGTCAGCCCCACTGGGTAAACCGGATCAGGAAATCAACTCTCCAGGAAGGCTAAAACTACTTTTATTGAGATTGGCTATAATAACAGAAACTTGGAAGTCTGACTATGCTGTACCTCCTTACCGTTCCTTTACTCTACTGAATTAGGGAGGTGTCTGTCTGAGCTGCTTCTGAATGTTATCTCATTGTTCTGGAACTTTAAAAATATTTCTGCCCCTTTTTTCTATATAATGGTTCTTGCATAGAACAGCCAAGGTCATCTTCCTTACTTTCTACAGCAGTGTTTCTCAAATTTGGCAGTTTTAAAAAGTGTGGACTTCAATACCCAGAGTTCTGGGAGTTGAAGTCCACACATCTTAAAGCTGCCAAGGTTGAGAAACACTGCTTTACAGGCTGGCAGAGGCACAGGGCAGAATATTTACAGCTGCAATACCAATTTGCCCTTAGGATATACTGGTTCCCTTGTGTTGATGTGTTGGCACTCTGTTGAGAATTTTCTCTCTCTATGTAATTTTTGCCCAATTTTTGTTTTTGTTTTAAATAATGTTATTAGGGATTACAGTTAAAAAGAATAAAAACAATACAAACTGTTTTCTTCTTTTTCTTTTCTTTTTATTTTTCCCAATGTTTAGAGTGGCTTAATTTTTGTCCTCATTCTGCAAGTTATATGTCAGAAGATTTGTGGTTTTAAGTTGTTTCACTGAAAATTTTTTTTTAACCTTTGTGATTACAAGTCATGCAAGCAGGGCAAAAAGGGAAAATAAATGTGATTGCATAAGAAAATATATCCAGAAGCCATTGGAGCAATTGCAGATGGTACAGAAAAAGGGGTCTGTTGTATTCTTGATGTAGGAACACAGATCTTAATTATACTAGCTGATTATACCTTAGAAGTGGTATTCATTCATTCATTCATTCATGCACACGTGCATGCATGTGTGCGTGCATTTTCTATAGCCACCCGTCTCAATACAAGTGACTCTGGGCAGCAATGTGAATTGTGAGTAGAGTTAGCACAAAGTTGGAAGAGTCCACCTTCTCCCTGCCATGCCTAATTTATCTAGAACAGTGTTCTCAACCTTGGCAACTTGAAGATATGAGCACTTCAACTTCACTTCAGAATTCTGGGAGTTGAAGTCCACACATCTCCAAGTTGTCACAGCTGAGAAAAACTGAGCTCGAAGAACACATTTCTTGGTATGCACCTGCTGAACCCGTCTGTACCTTACCCCTTAACTAAGACTTCAGGCTTGAGGCTACTGACCTTGAGGAAAGGCAAGAGGAGCCAGGCCTCATGTTTGGATCCTTTCTCTACCATGGCATGTGCACAGAGGGGCAAGATGTTGGGGTGCTCAAAAAGCAGGTGCATCTCTACCTCGTGCAGAGCTTCCTGACGATCATCCTTGTCGTGGCACAGGATGCGTTTCAAGGCATAGAAGCGCCCATCATGCAGCCCTTCAACAAGGTCCACATAGCTGAAGCCACTGTGCAGAGCAAAACACAAGCAGCCACAGGGCAGGACAAAGACATAAGTATTCTGATGTAAACAAAATCCAAGCCACTTTCTTTCTCCCCTGTTTCCTATCATGACTTCTTTCACTTTAAAAGTTCATCCTTATTCCTAAATTATGACCCTCCTCTCCTGCCATCTGGATCCTACACCTTTGCAGCGCAGTGAGTGTCATGTTTTCCACACAGGTTTGCTAGTTCGCTGATGTCACCTTAGCAGTTTCTATGCATATAATTTCGGTGCTGACACAAATTAATGAGACTGTACAGAAAAGCTAGATATCTGAATGCCATAACTGGAAGAATAACAAGAGAGGACTCTTGCTCATGTCTTATAACCTTGTTTGTTTATAATTTCATGAAGCTGTTGCTGCTTTTTTCACAAATACTTTGTGTACCACTGTAAAATTGTTGGATTGATAAACGGGAAAATGTTTAGATAAGTATCATGTGGCACTAAGCAGTATTCTGGTTCTCCCCAACACTTTATCACAGCACTGACAAACTGCCCAAAAAGGCCCAGCAACTGGATATGCTAAACAATCCAAAAGAGTTCAAGCATACCCCAAAAACATGCCTAATTAATTGGAAATTAGTGGGGAAGATCACCCAGATCTGTAGGTATCTAATGACATTTTCTATCTTCCAACGATAGAACTAAATAGAACTATTTTCTACTTAGTTTCTAAGGATATTTTCTAACATTAGAAACTAAACAGTAAACATTGTTAGTCTGACGGTCTACTCAATTGCTCGGATATATATATATATAAAGAGTGACATGAAGAAGAGGGTATTACTGAGGGAAGAGAAGCAGCAGACTTAAAGTGCAGCAAATATATGATTATGTACCAGGAATAAACATTCTGTAATGAGTGGTAGGCAATGAAATAAGTTGTCCAGAAGAACTTTGGTATCACCTTCCTTGGAGCAACAGGCAACCCAATTACATGTATGAAAATCTAGAGGGAATTGCACCAAATGAAGAAAAAAAGACATCTATCTTTAAATGAAGCTTGAATGGCAATTCTGGAGGAATATTTTGGAGAAGATGGGAGGTGGGGTGGACAACCAATGACTCTCCATGTTGCTGGACTACAACTCATGGCAGCTGAATGCAGCATGACCAATGGTGAGGATGATGGGCGATACAGGTCAGAATAATCCAGAAGGAGCAACTTTCCCACATCTGGAATAGATGAACCTTAGAAAATGCAATAATTCTACCCCAGGCAAATAATGACAGTGTGTGTATACAGATACATATTTCCTACTTCTTTAAAAGCATGAACATCTGTGGTCGAAACATCTTCCTACAGGTGAAGAACTACATGAATTAATAGTGGGTCTCAGAGAGGGCAGTGGTGGGGGAGGCAATGATGAGAAAGATTTCAGCAACAACCTGAATCTTAATCCATAGGAAAGCAGCATTGTGGAGCTCCCACAAAGATGTGTGCTTTGCTTCTGGGTCTTTCTTACCAACTTGATTATCACAGTTAAAAGAAAACAGACCAAACTATGGTAAAAGATAGGCTAGTAACTACAGGATACTCTGTGAAATTTCCAAATGAATCACTGCAAAGCATCTTAAAAGATCCCTCTGGAAGGAAGCCAATACTCACCCCTCCCCAAGCCTGTGGATTAAAAGATAGCGTTTGCTATTGATAGTGATGGTCCCCCTTGAACAGATGCATAGGGCATGGCCCATGGTGGTCGCTCCAACATCCTTCAGACCCTACAGATGATAAGAAAGCAATGTTCCAGACATTGGTTAAATCATTGTGAAGGCCCTAAGGCTGAGAAAATAAGGGGCAGCCTCACCTCAAGATATTAATAAATGGATACATATACAGGTAGTCTTTGTTTAGCAACCAAAATTGGGACTGGCAACTCAGTCATTAAGCAAAGCAGTCACTAAGTGAAACCGTGACTCTGCTTACAATCTTACTTCAGCTTTCCTTCATTTTACAGATGCGCAAAGGTGGTAAATGTGAGGATTGGTCGCAAAGTTACTTTTTCATCACCTGTCAGAACTGTGAATGGTCACTGTGTTTACCAGTCGCTAAACAAGGACTACCTGTATATTAAAACAGATGACCTTTCAGGTAAGGTATAACATTGGAAGGGAACACAAGAGAATAGTCCAAGTGCTTGCCCATCCATCAGTTTCTTCTCTCCCAATATCATATACATTTAGAAGACATGGGGCACAACATTAGTGCTGGAGAGGAAATGATACAGCTCAAATTATAAGGACAACCAATCTTTCTGTGGGTAAGAGCCAAACTAAAAACAAAACAAAACCAGGAACATTTTTCTCCAGCTTCTGAGAGCTTCAAAAACAGTCAAGGTGATCTGGTAATGTTACAGAAGGACTATTGCCAGAATTTTCAACTCTTCTTTTTACTGTTCTGGTGGGCAATAGGCAATGAGGTTTATAAAAGTAAAACAAGACTTAGCACAATTATTTTGGGATGTATTTGGAAAGAAAAAGAAAAAATGCTCTGCTCTAGACCAGTGACTTGCCACTAAATGGGGATGATGCAATCTTAAGTGGGCTTTGAGAATTGCAAAAAGAAAAAGAAAAAGCACAGAGGCAGGGGAAGCACATACAGATTACTGGCTACCCAGCCTGGCTGAAGACAAATGCTCCATTCTCTGTCCTGTAATAAGAAAATATGCTGTGAGGGACACAGAAATAGAGAGTTAATTATCGCCTCCAAAATGACAGTCAGCTGGATGCCAACTGATTGGCAGCCAAGAAACATATATTCAATGAATCTTCTAAAAAGAAAAAAGGTAACAAGATTATGTGGAAAACAGGGGAATAGGGCAGGAGTCCAGTCACCTGATATTCTATAGCAATCTGTTTTTGGAAAAAAACAAAATGCCACTATTCATCTCAACAAGGAATGGAAGAGTCAAGAGTGAGCGCTTTCTTCCACCTGCTCCCAGCTGAATCATGATGGAACGTATCTGTGGTTGCCATAACTGGCATCTTCCCAAATGCAAAGGAATTGAATCATGACACTAACTGAACTGATAGACGAAAGGGAAAGTATATCTCTTTAGCTGCCTATCGGAAGTATGGTTTTTTAAAAACGATGTGATAAAACTCTTTATTTTATATTTCCCCTTGCTTTTCAAGTAAGTACTGTCTCCAAAGTGGTTCCCATCATTCAAGATGAAAGGACAAGCCTTGGCCTTTGGATTACATCCTAAGAAGGTAAGGCATGTAAGAAAAAAGGAGAAAAAAGGGGTAAAGTTCTTCGAAGCTAGAGGTGAGCAGCAATCATATCCAGCCGGGTGGTTCAGAAATATACGGTGATTGATGGCATCAAAAAGCCATCGAGAGAACTAGTAAATGAAGAGTTCTGCCATGAGAATAATGCATTCTGCACATGTCCAGATGCACAGTCGCTGTTATTGTTATGTCATTTGTTCTAGAGTGGAAAACTGCACTGGGTTCCGAGGCCGAGTTATGGCTCAAACTAAGTAACAGGGGACGGAAATTCTGCCCTGGAAGTCCCGGCGCCTTTTCTGAACCCGGCACTCTGGAACACAGAACAGCAGCAAACACGACCAAGCTCATCCTCACGCCCCGCCCATCCGCGGAGGCACGCGCGGGGGGAAGGGGAGGGGAGGGGAGGGGAGTGGGCGACGCACTCACCCAGTCTCGGTCTAGAGCTCGGAAGCTTCCTGGAGAGCTTCAGCGCGACAGGGGCTCCTGCGCTGCCTGATGACGTTATGCTCTGCGCCGACTGCTCTGCGGCCAGGAGGTAGCTTAGCAACCACTGGAAAAAGGAAACATCAATGAAAGAGGAAAAGAGGGTGGGAAGGAACTGAGTAGGAAAGGGAGAGTCATAGTCTGGGTGTTCAAGAGCAAGTTAGTGCAGTTTAGGCACAAAGTGTTGAGCTTCAGTATGCAGGGTTTACTTGATTGGGGTTTGTGAGCATTTCCTAAGATGTGAGTCTCACTTTGAATTCAGAGGGGCTTATTCTTAAATAAATGTGTATGGCCCTGTAACCTAGTCCCAAAAGGGTCTTATGTTCTGCTATGAGAATAATGCATTCAGTGTACTTCACAGAGCTGTTGTGAATATATGCCAGGCTAGCTCATGGAAGGCTGTAAATGAGTAGTCTCAGGACACTATGGATTTTTAATATCAAGTGTTTCTCTAGAAAACTTAGGGCAGCATTCATGATTCACTACCACATAAGTTATTACAAAAACTCTGTGAACTAAATTGGGCTGGTTGTGGTTAGCCCAAGGTCATCTGGTGAAATTTATGACTCTGTGTGGATTTCAGGGCAGATGTAGCTTCAGCCACCTCAAGACATCAGATACCTCAGTAGAGAGTTTTAATAAAATATTATTGTGATCATTTTAATAATAAGAATGATTATTATGATCATTTTAATGTTGGCATGAGACATTTGACATTCTGATCGAGTAACTCCTTTGTGGCTTAGACTACAATGGCATTTAAAGCCTGATTGGTTTTCCCTAAATTTCACCATTCAATGACTCTGATAAGGCTCATAATTCCTTACTTTAAAACAACATATCTCATTATGAGGTGGCACAGAATGTGGTGATGCCAAGGATAGTGTGCCCCAGCTGGGACATTATGCACTGGTCACCTTGGGTCTCTGCATGGGTTCCTGTTGCTAAATGGACACAGTGATTGTACGGGTCTGGTGAATAGAGGGGTCTTCCAATGACAAACAAGTTGCAATAAGGTGGATATAAATAAAAACAGATTTGTACTATGCATGGAAAGCAAGAATATTATATAATTATATAATGTGATAGCCGCACACAGTATTTAAAAATTTAAAAACTTGATATTCTTATGGAGTCTTTTGGTCTCTCAGGGTAGATGTGTATTAGCTTGTTCCGTAATCACCACATTTGGTTCTGATCATTTCAATATTTATTAGATCTACAAAAAGTGCATGAGTATCTGTAAGGGAAAATTTTAAAAATCAGTAAATCCTGTGTGTACAATTTATTATTTAAAAATAATTGGTGCTTTTGATTCAGTGACAATTATACAATGCAATAATAGGTTAAGTATATCTCTTTCCACTTTCATCTCACAGATAACTATGTTCTGTCATTATCTATCATTTTCCTCTTAGTTTGAGGAAATGTATATTTAGCATAATCTATAAATTTGATAATGGAAAATGAGCTCTCTGTTCCAATTCCCTGTGTTCATTCTTTGCATTCAGAAGGAACTTGGTGCATCATAGTATTATCCTCTGATTTGACCGTGGCTTTGGATATAGTTCATTACAAATTGCTGCCTTTCCTTCTCCCCTCCCATCTCATAGGAGGGACCACCCCCTACTTTGGAAGAAGCACCAGGGCCTGCCCACCAGATTGTCATGTGATATCTTCTTACAGCTTCTTGTTCCAGGCTGAAGTTACGGTCAGACAGATGGGGCTGTGGCTGTATATTCTCATGGTAGCTTTGGGGGGCTTACAGTTTCAGGTAAGTAATATAAAAACAATTGGGGAAGGATTTTATTGGGGAAAAATGCTGAAATGATTTCTTCCAACTTTTTAAAGCAAATATAAGGGATTTTTCTATTTGCTTTCTAATCTTCCACTTATTCTCACAGTCCAGGTTTTTCTTTAAATCTTTTTGGCACTTCTCCCTCATCCTTTCATAATGTTCTGTTTATAATTAGTGAGCTGACTACCCTGCCTCTGAATTAAGCTCCTATGTGATGTAATTATCGTGGAATTCTTAAATATGGAGCATAATCTGTTCTGCTTATTTAAAATTCTCAACAACTATATATCCTCAGCCATATGATTCAGGCCACAGCAAAGAACACTATATAGTTCAAATAATTTTAGACTCAGAGCAGACTGATAATTTATTTGTCAAAAGCTTGTGTGACTGGCTGGATGAAAATGTTTGTAAATGCAGATAGAGAGTAACCATAGCACTGGAGATAAAGAGATGCATGACTCTACAGTATGACTCAGGAAAAGGTCTTACATAGGCTCTTAACCTAGAAAACGTCTAAGTGGGTAAGTGAGGGGCAGACCTAAACCTCAGGTATAAATTGTGATTGGGACATTAGATTTGAACTTGCAAGATTTGGAGTAGCAATGAGCATGAGATGTGAGAGTACTTTGAGATGCATTATGTGACATGTCTAGGTATACTAGACTAACTTCAGGAAAGTGTGCAGTGAAGGTAGTCCTCAACTTACAACTATTTGTTTAGCTACTGTTTGAAGTTATGACCACTGAAAAAAGTGACTTGTGACCAGTTTCACACTTACAACCATCACAGCATCCCCATGATCTCGTGATCAGAATTCGGGCACTTGGCAACTGGCATGTATTTATGATGGTTACAGCATCTCAGTGTCACATGATCGCCATTTGCAACCTTCCTAGCCTGCTTCCAACAAGCAAAATCAATGGGAAACTATGATTTGCTTAACAACTACATGACTCACTTAACAACCATGGTGATTCGCTTAATGACTGCCATAAAAATGTCATAAAATCGGGTACAGTCATGTAATGCCTTGCTTAATGACCACACCGCTTAATGATGAATTTTCTAATCCCTATTGTGGTTGTAAGTCAAGGACTACCTGTACTGTAATGTCCTTCCATGCTGAAACACTGTATTGTTTTATACTAAGTATCCATAAGTCTGAAAGCTCCTATGCAAAGCAGCAATAGCAGAAATATATGAAGGACCTAGTCAGCATTAACCATATTATAGGAGCAAGGAGTGGAGGTCCTAATTTGATCCATCTAAAAAGAGATAAAGTAGCATTGTGGTTGTATGGCAAATGATAATATTAAGCTTCCCTCTCTTTTTCTGGATATCAGGCCACTGCAGCAGTTAGTTCTTTCAGCATTGATTATGAAAATAACTGCTTCCTGAAGGATGGAGTTCAGTTTCGTTATATCTCAGGCAGTATCCATTACTTCCGTATCCCACCAGCTTATTGGAAGGACCGGCTCCTCAAGATGTACATGAGCGGCCTCAACGCTGTACAAATGTAAGTGATCAGAAGTGACTCCAAGCTGGGACATACTGCAACAGAAACTGATCATAAATGCTCCAACTTTCTAAGCAAAGGGTCCATATTTTAGACTATAGCCAACACTGGGAGCAAAGGAACTCATGCTTAATAAAAATGGATCTGACCCAAGTAATGAAAGTATTTTGTTCAATCATAAGGTCTCATCAGGATATACATGACCTTGTGCTTTTGGCCAAAATGAACAACATGTGCACATATGTCTGCACAACACTAACTATCTATATGTATGTGTGTATATAAAACAGCATGTTTAATTACTGCCCACCTTTCTGCTACAATTAGGATAATCATCTCTGCTCATCATTCCAACTTAAGACTAGGGGAGAAAATGTCTGTTAATGTTCCCTGCTTGCTATCAGTTATGTTTGAATTTGCTGTCAATCTGAGCTGAGAAACAGAAATTGAAAGATATACTTGAACTACAAAAAATATATTGTTTAGGATTTAGTGCCACAACATAAACATGGTTTTGTGTTTATCCATGAGTACAGTAATTCTTTTCGGTCTCAGAAATCTGTTCTGGACTGAAATGTGTATTTTAATTCCTCAGTTATGTCCCATGGAACTACCATGAACCGCTGCCTGGGATTTACAACTTTTCCGAGGACAGAGACTTGGAAGGATTCTTGGACTTAGTGGCCCAATTAGGGCTATTGGTGATATTGCGCCCTGGACCCTACATCTGTGCTGAATGGGATATGGTGAGGGCTATACAGAGATTCAGATAAGTTGTTATTATTTTCAGCATCTGAATGCTCCACAACTCATCTTAAGCAGTTAATAATTTGACATGCTATCTTTCCCTTATTTTCCTGTTGTATCTCTGACCCATTTTTTTCATTTTTAAATCTTGTATTTTTCTTGCTTTATAGTTATACATGGATGCTAATGTTTCATCTCATGACTCAAACAACCACTTTGCAATAATTAATATCAGACCTATTTTTGCAGTTTTGAATTCTCATCTTTTGACAGTTCTCCAGTTTTTACTGACTGGAGGAGAGCATAAATAACTTCTTTGACCTTATTTGCAAAATTGGGTTACTTTGATATCTTCTTTCCTAGGGTGGCCTTCCATCTTGGCTGTTGGCAGAACCAGATATTATTCTGCGTACATCTGATCCAGGTAAGAGGGAAAGCTGAATCAGAAAGAAGACAGAATTTCCTCTACCTTCTGCAGAAGTAAAGCGCTTATGTGAGCTTAATACAAAGATCCAAGTGCTCTTCCAGAACTCTCCTCCGTATATAGCATCATAATCGCCAGCTCTTATCTTAGTACTGCTGGGAAATTGAGCAGAGAAGCCTCACTTTTTAGCTCAGCAAGTTGCTTTCTGCTCTCAGGTTTTCTGCAAGCTGTCAACAAATGGCTGAATGTCCTGCTACCCAAGATAAAACCCCGTCTTTACCATAATGGAGGCAACATCATCAGTATCCAGGTGCGTGAAGCATAAACCATTTCAGATATTTTTTCCCTCAGTCCTTAATTGAGCCGTTAGGACAGAAATAGGACAATGGATGTCTCCCCCAGGGTTATTGAGCACAAGCTTTCCAGCAGGGCTGGCTCTAGGCATTTTGGCACCCTAGACAAAGTCATATTCTGGTGCCCCCAGATGGTTTAGCTCATCTTTCAATTTTGTTAGGAAATTCAAACAGGCACCCTTTTTTCCCTCAAGTTTTGGAGTTTTACACTTAGGATTTTCAGACCCAGAAAAAAAATTTTCTTAGACATTTCCACCCTATTTACACAGTAAGTAATTTTAATTACATCACCTGTTGTTGTCATATGGCAACAATTCTGTGAAATGATATTTAACCCTCAACTGGGCACGCTGGCTCACAAAGTGCACCCTTACTGCTTTTCGCTTTTTTATGTTTTGGGGAATTTTTTTCCATTTTGGCACCCCCTAAAATTTGGCACCCCTAGGCTGGTCCCTACTTGGCCTTAGTTGGCCCTACTTTCTACTATCCCTAAATATTAGCAGTTCTTGCTGAAGTTAATGAGAGCTGGGAGTTCACTGCCATCTGAAGGGCTCTAGTTCCCCACCCCTGTTGTGCAGTCTCCAAGATAAGATTCATCCATTGAAGAATTCATACATTCATATATTGTACCTATTTAAGGAAATGCAAGTTGAAGTAATTGAACTGGTGCATGTGTGTTTACAGTATCCAAGTCAATGAAATTTTTAAAAAATACAGAATGACTACTCTTAATGTGCTTGCTGTCATGTTGGAGGACCAGCCTACCAAATGGCATTCCAGTGGCAGCATCTGAATGATGTCGAAATATTATATTTATTGATGAATTGATGAATAACAGCTTCAATCAAGGCTACCCTAAATATTAAGAGAATGCCTTTCTTTCCATAGAAAGTCCTTATTGTAGCAAATTTATGGTAGACACAGAAGAAGTTTTTGTGGGCAGCAATTTCTATTTCTGATATTGGCAACATGCTTTAGAAAATACTATGATAAAAAGCAAAAATTCAAGAACATTGATAATGTGGTGATCAAAGGTACCTCCCCCCAGCTACATGGTCCTTGTGTATATGTGTGTGGGGGGGGGGTCGGCGAGGTTGGAATTGGTTAGGGGACTCAGCAAAAGGGGTGAGTCTTAGGTAGGTTGTGGGAATATCTTTTACCACCACAACAGGCTGCAGCTGGAGCATAAGAGGATACCAAGTGGGATTCATATACAATGCTGCTTAAAAGTTTGTAAACCCTTGTGAATTTTCAATATTACTGCAAATATATTACCTAAAATGTGATCTGTTCTCTACACAAATCCTAAAACTAGATAAAGAGAACCCAATTAAACAAATGAGTTAAAAACATTATATATACTTGTTCATTGATTTATTGAGGAAAATGATCCAAAGCTACATATTTGAGTGTGGCAAAAGTATGTAAACCTCTAGGATTATCAGTTCATTTGAAGGGAAAATCAGAGTCAGGTGTTTCAGTCAATGGGATGATAATCAGGTGTGAGTGTGGGAGGTCCTTCGTTATTTAAAGAACAGAATTCTGGGTATTCATTATCAAAGTCTGATCTTTACAACACAGGTATGTGGAAGTGTGTCATGGCTGGAACAAAGATTTCTGAGGACCTCTAAAAAACAGTTGTTGATTTGATTCATTTTTATCTTCATCTTTATCTAGTTTTAGGATGTGTGGTGAACAGGTCATGTTTTAGGTCATATTTTTGGAGAAAATTTATTGAAAATTTAAAAGAGTTCACAAACATTTAGGCACCACTGTATCCTAAATCAGCCTTTTGCAAACTGACACCTTTCAAATGTGCTGCACTACAACTTTCAAGTGAAGAAGAAAGAATAAAAAGTTACAGAATGCAAAAAAATATATTGAGACAGCAGTAAAAAAAAAAAGTCTAAAATGATATTTAATTGTGACAAGCCTACATGTTTTAGCCCAAACATAGAACTTCATCAGGGACAAATGTAGGAACATTTTAAATCTTTATCCTAAAATAAGTAAAAGTATTAGTAGAAAAATTAGAAAAATAGAACTGTAATCATGAAGCATAACTTAAAAAACCATAATACTTATTATATTTGTAGATAAAGCCTCTTTGGAGTTGAGTTTAATTCCTGGTGACATCGTGGAAATAATCCATATAGTTTTCTTGGCAATAATACAGAAGTGGTTGCCCTTGTCTGCTTGGCTTTTATTTTAGTTATTTTGCCTTCTTGATCTAGTCCATAGGCCTGGAATTTCCTAGAGGTCTCCAATTACCAACTCTGCTTAATTTTTTGGAAGTGAGCATGGTCAGCTAGGAGCTGCAGAATATACAAAGTAAAATCTCCTTCAAGTTGTGCACAATACTTGGTGCTTCATGAATACAAATACATTCAAAGTACAAAAACTCTATGTGTTATATCTACTTTGCAATAGCCATGTGGTTGAATATAGCAGGGAGTGCAAGTTTTTTGCTTTCATTAAAACACATGAGCCCTAAATAACAGTATTTTTGGAAAAGACAGAGATCAGGGCAAGTGGCTATAGAAACTGAATTCTGGAATCCATTCACAAATTTCTGTTTAGCTGAATCCGGTTGGATCTTAAAATCATGTTGTCCAGTATCCAAAATCTTACATATTTGCTGCCTTTCACTGTCAAACAACAAAGACATTTTTAGCACCCTTCTAACTGATACAGAGCTTGGGACTTTCAGGAAGAGCAAACTGCTTCCTTCACAACTAGCTCAGCTGCATCTACTTGGGAAACCAACATATGGGACAAATGGGCTGTATAAGCTGCTACATGTGCAGTATTTGACAAATGAGGTACACGCATTTGTCTTATTAAAATCTAATCCTTTGGCAAATGAAGGGCTCAGAGTCACCATCTTTTAATTCCCTACTGTTCTCTAGGCAGGTGGAGAATGAATATGGGAGCTATTATGCATGTGACTATGACTATATGCGTCACCTCCTGGCTGTCTTCCGTTTGTATTTGGGCAAAGAAGTTGTGCTCTTCACAACTGATGGCCTCAAAGAATCTGAGCTGCGATGTGGGACCCTGCAGGATTTATATGCCACTGTGGACTTTGGACCAGGTAGTGCAAAGCTCAGTGATCTGTCACAGAATTTATACAAGCTGGAAAGGAAGGATCCTTTGACTTCTGTTCTTTGTCCTCTTACAGAAATAAATGAGACACGGGCATTTGAACAACAGCGTCTGGTTGAGCCAAGAGGGCCACTGGTGAGAGCATCTGGCCTTGCCATGTAGGAAGGAAGCAACCTATGGCTTTGTGGTGCTTATTTTTTCTGAGCACCCATTTCTCTTTGCTTTATATGCTGACTTTTTTCTGTCTCTCATCTGGTCTGCTTGATTATTTTGCTCTTTCCTTAGCAACTTCCAGGGAGTTGCTAAGGAAACAGAATCAAAAGTATTAATGAGTGTTAAATCCTTATTTGCCTCTGTGGTTAGTTGGTGCTAAAGCCACAGAAATGACAGTCCAATGTTTTCAAGAGTCTCTGGCAGGCTATGAGCTTCTCTTGCCTGTCTTGAGTGATGCCAGACCTGTAGATCTCAAGATTCATCTTTGTTTATAAGAATTTCTGAGAGCTTAATTAGGAGTTTTAGAAGTACTTTACAATATTTTATTTCACTCATTTTTCCAAGGGAAGCCAGAGTGATGTACAGAAAAACAATAAAATAAATACAATAAAAACAAAATGAATAAATAATTCATTTAAAAGGCTCCTAACAGTTGTTTCTCTACAGATAGCCAAACAAATACGTATTAAATTACCATTTTAAAGTAGACAGCATAGTGGCCAGAGGTACTTCCCTTGGAGTATAGTATGTTCCCTGATTGGGGCACGCCTTACTTTTGGACACAAAAGCGAGATTGTGACCAGAGCCTCCCCAGCTGATCATAATACACAGCTTGGGTAATATTGTTGTAATACTTGGGTCAATGGACCATAAATCATAATGTATCGATTAATCTATTCTTATGGTCTGACTATTTATTTTAATATTTGGGTTGGAACAAATTGATATATCCTATTATTCTGTTTCAGGTGTTGAAAACAGCTTTACTACTATTCCATAAAAGTCTTAATTCTGCTTTTCACCTAGGTGAATTCTGAATATTACACAGGTTGGCTGGATTATTGGGGCGAGCCACACTCCACAAAAAGTACTGCAGTTGTGACTCAGGGCCTACAGAAGATGCTAGAATTGGGAGCCAACGTCAACATGTAACCGTGAGACTATATGGGAGAGTGGCAGTGGGACACAAGCAATAGAATTGATTATAAAAAGAAATGGAGTATGTCTAAGATACAAGTCATGGCTCTCAGCTTCATCTTACTCTGTATGGGTATTTTGTACATTAGATGTTTTCTGTGTGTGTGCAATCTTCCTATCTTTATTGATTTCCTTAGCTGATAAAAATTTTCCTACAGAAGATGTGAGACTGGAGCATATTTGAGACTACCCTGGGCTCTCCATTTATTTTACTTTACATGACTGGCTGGCTGGATTCACACACCATTCTAAGCAAAAACCAGACAAGCCACATTATGGCTTAACTAGTGTGCAAATCCAGTCCAACTGTAGAGCTGTTCTCCATTCCTGTGTAGCACCTGTCCATTTTTCCCTATTCCACTTTCTGTCATTGTCTCAGTACTTGGATGGAAGGTAAATTCTTACTGTGCTGCCTGATCTTTTTCTAGGTATATGTTCCAGGGTGGCACCAACTTTGGTTACTGGAGTGGTGAGTTTCTGGCTCCTTTGGGTTGCTGTCTCAGTCAAACATTGTGAGACCTAGCTTCTGGCTGGAGAACAGAAGTACCTAGTTGGGGATGGGGCAGTTAGACATCCAGAAGCCTGTTTTGTTCTCATAGATTTCTCTGCTCAGGTGCTGATTACAAGGACAACTACTTCCCTATTGTTACTAGCTATGACTATGATGCACCTCTCTCAGAAGCTGGAGACCCTACAGAAAAGCTCTATGCCATCCGAACCATCATTGGCAAGGTAACAACTCAGCACTCTTGGCAGTACACTGAGAAGCAATGCTGCTTTTTATACTGATTGAAAGGAACTATTTATTTTATTAATAGCCTACTCTTTTGCTGCTGCTCATATGCAGTCACAGCCAGGACAGAATATCATCTTAAAGTTTTAAATTTAATCTGAACACATTTGAGTAAATTACTGACAGTAAGTTTCATAAGCAAGAGGTAAGTTCTGTTCATGGTTCCTGTGTAAATGGGGTAAATGGATTCACTAGGGAATTCCTGGAAGCTTGGCATTCAGACAAATCAGCCATCAGTAGACAAATAGAAATAAATTATATTTGCACATCATTCAAAAGAGACAATAAAAAAGTTAAGAAGGAAACAAAAAGACCAGAACACATCCTCTCCAAAAGCCTATAGCCAGATGAGCAGGGATTAACACAAGCCAAACAATCAAGCAGAAAACAATGCCGTAATCAAGGAACTACCAAGAAGAAAAACACACCCCCACCAAGGTAGCAAAGCACGCTACTGTATATAAACAGGGAGCAAACCCCACACTCACTAGCACTGATGATGTTACCTAGTTGGGTAATGAAATGACTGCAAGCAACAACCAAGCTCAGAGAGCACCAAGGATTCCACATATCTGTCAGGATTTTTTCCAGCCATAGTTTGTTAGTGGATCACTCATTGTACTAAGTCAAAAGGAACCAAACTTAGTGTGATGTGCTAATCAGGGTAGTATATATTGTATGAGTGCATATGAGACAAAGAGAAGCTTTGCATTTTTACTCAGAAATGCTACGGAATTCAATAGGGATCATTCCCTTAAAGATGCATTCTTTGGGAATCTGCCAGTGTACTTTGAGACAATGATTCTCAACCTCAGCAACTTTAAGATGTGTGGACTTCAACTCCCAGAATTCTCCAGCCAGCATTGTCCACACATCTTAAAGTTGTTGAGAAACACTGCTTGAAGATAAGCAAAGAAGGAGAAACAAGACATTTAGTCTTCAGTTTTTATCTGTCTGTTCTGAATTGCTTAAAAAGTTCTCTTCCTTCAGTTTTTAAAATTTTCTCTGACAGGAGCTAGGTTAAAGCAAAGTAACTAGTTTATTCTTGCTGTGCTTCAGTTGCTGAATGTGATGTCATCAGCTGAAATTGATGTTAAGTTTGGCCTCCAGTCACCCTCTTTTGACATCCTTTTATAAATTTGCAGTTTCAGGTAGTGCCTGCAGGACCAATACCACCCCCCACTCCCAAATTTTCATATGGCTATGTATCTTTGCCACAGGTAAGTTAGAGTTGGAAGATATTCTATCAGATGTTCATGAACTGGCAGGTGGATAAGCTATTCCTGTAATCTTACATGTTCCCTCCTAGGTTATAGGGTGGAACTCAAAGGCACTGAAATAGATGATTTTGGAATAGAAAAGAGATGTTGGTATATAAAACACTTTGCATGTCTAGCTATATTGATGGCACCAAAGTTGAGATGTTGTGCCCCATGCCCACACCAGGAATTCAGCAGATCCATTTTTCTCATTTTTAAATGGTGCTATGTTTATATGGTAAAGCATTTTATAAATGAGTTGGTTATCTTTCTGCTTGTTTTAATGTTGCTATATGTTTAATGTGTAGTAGTATTTAATATTTTTAATGGAAATGACTTACAGAAATATACTTTTTTGCACCTTGCTTTTTAAATAGCATAAATACAATTTCAGTTTTTTCCTACAGCGTGTGGCCTTTTTGGATATTCTAAGTCTTCTTTCGCCTTCCCTGCCATTCCATTCTTCCTTCCCCCTTACTTTTGAGGCACTGAAGCAGGTAAGAAGTGAAACAAGAATCTGTGGCAGCAAAAAGGGGACGCTAAGAGTAGCTCCACTAGAAAATTCAAGAAAACCCAGAGAAGCTGAAAAAAAACATTCTCTTTAGCTTTTGCCTGTTTGGTGTTTGGATTGCAGTCCACATTTGCATTACCTTCCATTTTATATTCCAGACCCATGGCTTTATGCTGTACCGGACTGTTCTTCCAGATGACATCCTGCAGCCTGTTTCGCTCTCTGTCCTTGAAAATGGGGTCCATGACCTTGCCTATGTTTTGCTCAATGGAGTAAGCTGGAAAGTGGAGACATTCCTATGATCCAGGCATTTGACTGCCGGGGCAAAATGTCCCCAGCTCTCATAGTGGTTGCTTGAGGCTGCTGAGTGATATAGGTTACAGTAATTGCTAATCCTTTATTTCTTCTCCCTTGAGGAATATAAAGGTACACTAGAACGAGACAGAGTGAATGGTGTCAATATAACTGGCCAGCTAGGAGACTCATTGGACTTGCTGGTGGAGAACATGGGTCATATCAATTTTGGAGCAAATAACAGTGACTTTAAGGTACTGCCGGGGAGCACTGCTGGTGAAATAGTGGTAAAGAGTAAAGCTTACACTCTTATTTGTAGAGGTATGCTGGATTGGGATGGATAGAGGGCTAAAGTGTCACACTTCTAAGCTAAGCTAAACATTTTCCAGGACAGTAAGCAGTTTCCAGGTAATAAGTAGCAACTGAAGTAACCTGAAAGAATTGGGGATATTTTCTGAGACTTGGAATATTAGGCAATCTTGTAAAAATGGGCTGTAAAGCAAAAGCAGAATGAGCTCACTTTTAATCATGGCAAGTTCTGATGTAACTTTTATCAGCTACTTGAACAGTTTTCTTCCACCTTTAAGAATCCTTTAAAGAACCCTGCTGTGAGAAAAAGACTGGGTCCTTGCAGGCAGTGGCTGATAGTTAAGCCAATCAGCAGAACCCAACCCTTTTCTCACAATAGGGTTACAAATTAAAAGCTAGGTGCGTGCTATTCTTCTCACACTCTCAGTGCACTTTTCTCTTTTTTGCCCAGGGTCTGATCTACAATGTTACTTTGGGTTCTACCATTCTCAGCGACTGGCTTATCTATCCTCTTGATATTGATTCAGCTGTGGCCCATGAATGGCCTCCATATGTCCCACCAAGCAATAAGACTACAGGACCTACTTTTTATACTGGAGTCTTCAAAACACCTGGTATCAACCAGGACACCTATGTGAAGTTTCCAGGGTGGAGCAAGGTACAGCAATCCTGAAGTCTGAATACAATTTTATCTTCCATTAGGCAGCAAGGTGATTTATTTGCCTCATCTCATTGCTTTGGGAATGCACCTTCTGTCATCCAAACTGCTAGCTGCAGCTCTTTTACTACATTTATCCTTTAAGCACTGTGTAATTATAGACAGTTCAAGAATTAATTTATAAGTAAAAGGTTTGCCTTTATTCACTATTTTTTAATATTATTAAAATTAGATGGCCATTAAAATCAAGATGGGGAACAGGGAAAACAAAATATTGCAAGATGCCCCCCCTCCAAAAAAATTAAATTTTATGTAATTTAGCTAAATAGATTACATTATAGAAATACACCGTATTACAAGGTTCATAACATAAATATTTACTGGTTTTAGCACTATGTAAAACATTTATATGTTTGCCAGTTGCCCCTACAGATGTTTTTAAAATGCATTCAGCATTTTAAATTACATAATACTTACATGAACAAAGAAGAAAAATCTCTCTTTACCATCTTAATTTATGTCTTCCTATGCATTCAAGTCATAGTCAGGATTGCAGTCTACACACATATAGAATTAATTTCTAAGCCTTGTACTAGTAAACTTTCTCTTGCTGTCAATGATCTTCCTGGCTTTGGGGTAGATAATAAAATATGAAATCAGTGCAGTAGTTTCTTGGGGTGTCCAAATCAAGATGAAGTATTACTTGGTAAAAATCACTCTTATCTTTTTAACTAGGGCCAGATCTGGATCAATGGTTTTAACCTGGGCCGTTTCTGGCCAGTTCGTGGACCCCAGAAAACCCTCTTTGTGCCTGGCGTGCTCCTCAGTACCTCAGTCCTCAATACTGTTGTAGTGCTGGAACTACAGAATGCACCATCAAATCCAAAGGTACTTTTTCTTGACCGGCCCCTTCTCAATGGTACTTCTACCTTCACTCACAAAGACATGAAATAACCAGAAGTACTATCCAACTGTGAGACCCATGGTGTAAGAAGAAATGTATTTGAAATCACTGCCTTGTAAGAATCAAATGAATAAAGTATCAGACGACAACTTAAGCTCTAATGAACAGCCCAAGTAAACTGCAGTTATTTGGTGTTCATGTCTTTCACTGGAGTATTAGTTGTAGCTGATGCTGTATAGGTGCTCAGGCTGGATAATACTAGTCACCAAATTAAATATACATGTACCTGGCATGGCATTGTAATGCTGCTTATTTCTTGACAATGCACTAATATCAGAAAACAGATATGCAGTTGGAAACTGGCAAAAGATTCAGTGAAAATAGGATGAACCTGGTAAGTGCTGGACGTACACAAGACATACTTGGTGATAAGGCACGTAAAAACATCAATAACAGATGTAAAGTTCTCTGTGCTGTATATTAAATACGACCATGGGTTTATCTTGATTCTTAAGACATCCATTGCTATTTGTGAAACAGTACTAGCTAAGAGATCATCAAATAGCATTAGCTCAAAAAAAACAACATAATCTCAAGATTCTTCCATTTTTGTTTATCTATGTTCTTTGTTCAGTTACTGCCTAATACAGCCTTCTCTAACCAGCACAGTTCAGATGTATTAGAATTCTTAACCTGCAGAACTCCCAGTCAGCAGTGAATTCTGGTGGGGCAGGCCCAACATATCTGGGGGAGAGGTT